ACGCCATACGCAGGTGATATTTTCAATGTGTTAGTTTCTCGTTGAAAGCTTTCTTTTGACCCGAATATGTCTAAGGTTTTCACTCAACAGGTCACACCCTTCCATTGTTAGATAAAGAATTCATAAAAAACATTTATTCATAAGAGAGAGAGGATTTATTCATTAATAAAGATGCAATGGAGAGCGTATTTCTAGAAAATTTACTAATCAGCCTACATAGTCATACAGTATGTACGGGAGAAAATATCACGAGAAATTTTGAGCCTTCGAGAATTATTTTTAAGATTAGGGCGTGTATTAAAGTCTAAATAATTGAGCACAACAGTTGTGCCACAATTGTTGATTGTTAGCTAAGTAATAATAAGTGTGTTTTCAGTACTTCAATATGCCCTTTTGTGACTCATGCTAGATTCTTCTAAGCCTGTACGCTATGCACTATATAGTCGCATTCGGTTAATATCAATCACACGAAGAAATAAGTAACAAAAAGCATTAAAGATTTACAAAAGACAAATTATGAAAACGATAAAAATGACAACTAGATAATCTTACAGAGAATCTTATTTCCCTTTCATTTTTAAAGAAAATATTCGAGGTAAAGAAACTTCAATTATTAGAAAAAAGCTGAAATAAATTCTTATTGTCCTAGAACAAAAAACCCTGTTCATTTATTTGCTTAGAGGATAAAAGAAAAAAATTGAATGCGTAAGAAATTTCTGTTAAAGAATATACGTATGATCAATTTATTGTACAGCTACAAAATCAATTATTTTGTTCTACAATGAATTATTTTTGTCGTACAATTCGGTGTACTTTGCATACTTATGTAATTAGTAGAATCTCTATTCCTTTTATAATTTATCTCTCATTTTAATTTATCGAAAAATAATAAAATCTAATTTTTATGATAGCTAAATAAATAAATATCAAATTTTCTTCAATAATAATGACTTCTTTTTAGTTTCTAAGTTATTTATGTTTAGATGAAACAACTGAACCAACACATCGTGATTTTATTACTCGATCGTTAGAGAATTGGTTTAACAAATATAAGTTAAAACTTAATCTCTCAAATGAAAAATTAGTTGAAGGTATTGATTATAAGTTAACATTAACATTTAATAATATATCAGAAGAAGCTTGTATATCATGTGGCTGTAGCGTTCGTATTAATTTAAGTTAAGAACGCGTTAATTTTTCATTAAGTAATTATTATAAGCATCTTAAATTATCAAAGTGCATAATGATGAAAAACAAAAAACAATCCAACACGAACGATGATGATAATGAATTAGTTGAACAAAATACGCCTCAATGTGATGCAACTGCTCCTTCTACATCATCATCAAATGTTGACAACGTCAACATACAATTGAGTCATACATCTAAAAAACGTAAACAACCTTCTACTTGGACTAATTTTTCACCCAAGGTTCGGACATCTTCATGATGAGCTGTTTTTTTAATCGAGACGATTTATCGCCGATTTCCAAAATATCGTTTCTTCTCTGAAAATCGCGATTAAATCAGATTTAATCGCCGATTATTGTATCAGTTATGATTAATCACGATTTTACGTTGATTTTTTGAAAAATCGGCAAAATCGTGGCGATTTTCATCACATGGGTAATTAGTTGAATAGCATACTGAGCTGTTCTAATGAAATAAACGAAAATTTCTTATCTATATTTATTTATTGTATTCAACAATATATGAATGTTTACTTATTTTTAATCATGTTTTATAATAGATGGCTTTATCTTTAGGAAGAAAGAAAATATTCTTTAATTTATTTCACAATTATGATTTATTTTCAGATTAATATTTCTTAGACTTGAATAATTATTCTATCAATCAATATATCCTGTGAAAACAAGGTAACCAAAACGAATTTTTCTTCCACTAAAGAAGGGTGTGTGGGTGGGTGTGGGTGTGGGTATGGGTGTCAGTGTGAGTGTGGGGTGGGTGTTCATATCGCTGTCTGCTTCATCCATCCACACCCACACCCACACCCACCCATCGAGGCGGCGCTAGGAATTCAGATACTTCAAGTAGTAAATCACCGATTGTCATTACTTCCGCATATAAAATACGCATGTACTCATCATGAGCAGTTAAATCAATGTGTACGCATCGACTTCTTTCTCCTATGGTTCCTCGCATTTCTTCTACGTTGAATATTGATTGGTATTTCGATGATATTCCAAGTTTAATGTCATCAATATTGATATCACCTAGTAAATATTTGAGAATTATTGATCGTTGTGGAGGTAGTCGTTTTGAAAGGTTCGGATTGATTGTTGTGTTTGACAATTGGCTGGGGTCATTTTGGAGACCACACGGGAAAACGAATAATTCGATTTCGCGAGTATAACATTGCATGTTACTATCTCGATCAATAAACCAGTAATCACAGCCGAGAGGCTTTGTATATTTAGTATTTTGTTTCCGAAAGCTTTTTTTAATCATAGTGAATAATTCTTCTATAAGATTAGTAGCAATTTTTTTATCATGTATTTTTGGTTCCCATTTTATATTTATAGGTGGTAAATGTTGTTCAACGGCATAATGTGGAGCATGACTACAGATTGACAATTTTGATTGATGGTCATCTTGATATTGTTGTTGTTGATTTGTATTCTTATTTGAATCAATATCATTTGTGTCAAGTACCTGGTAATTTGTTTCAGCAATTGATTTTCTTTTCTTTAGATGATTCATTGCTGTCATTTCTCCATTGACAAATGTACGTGACGTGGTTATTCTTCTTTTCTGTATATATTGCGGTTTTTCTTGTTGTACATATGACGTCATTTTGTTCTTAATAATGATTGTCCTTATCTTCACATAAGAATTTTTTGCGTTGATGTGTGATGATTCGAAAATCATCTTCATTATCATTTGATAAAATAATTTTATCTTCATTTGTTGTTCTTTATTGACCTAAGTGATATCGCTTCGATGTAGGAACTTTACCGAACTTTCTTTTTCACTATTAAATTTTAATATTTTTGTGGAACTCACATATGTTTTCGAAGAAAATAGTGAGTGTAAGTTTTAAGTTCGAGTTTTTGCGGCTCCCCCCCCCCCTCCCCTTACAGACAGGCT